GCCGTCGGGATCTGGGCAGGCATCCCATCTTTCAGCCTCACTGACTCCGGAGAGCAAGAATGCAGACCATCCACCTGCATCTTCCAGCAAAAGTAAGAGTCTGGAGTTTTATTCCTGGAGGTGTTTGTGGGTGTGTGGGTGCGTTCTAGTAATCACTTTCCCCAAATATTAAAGGGGGGGGCAGTGCATATAGCATGGATTCAAAATCTGTCCTGTAGCTTCTAAGGAAACGTCTCTGTTTGGGGCACTCTTGTTCCTCCTAAAAGGGACGAGAAAGGTTCCCACCTTAAGCAGTCAGCACTTCACCAGATAATGCCGAGGCACCCAAACGTCTCCTTGGCTGTGGCCCAGCCTTGACTACCCACTTTGAGTACTTTGGTCTTTCATTTTACTCAGTGTCACTGCACGGTACGCTGGCTGTACTAAAGAGAGAGTCCCAGTGAGAAACTGGAGCCGGAGAGGGGAACTCAGGTCTCAAGAGAAGAAAACAAGAGGAAGTAACTTTTAAAGCAGTGAAACAGAGAAACTGTGGCTAAAACTCTGGCTGCACCAAAGTCAATGGCAAAAATCCCAGAGATTGCAGTGGGAGCAAAGTTTCAATCCTGCATATTAAATTACACGAGCTAAACAAATTGCTGTAGTCCTTTTAAGAATTTTAAGATTTTCATACACTCTCTCCTTGGAATCCAGCTGGAGTGGGGAGGGTGGCAACTGCTCAGACATAAACTTGTAAGATGCACTGCTTGCTAGGGAACTTTGGATCCCAAGGCTAGGCCATGTACAGAGCATATTTTAACTGATTCCGTACCATAAGAACATGCTGTTTGACAAAGACTAGATGACCCACAGAGGTCCCTTCCAACCCCTACTATTCTGTGATTCTGTGATTCTGTGAATCCTGCTATAAAACAGACACCGCCCACACAAGAAGGAACAGCTGACGTATGGTGTGTGGACATCATCAGAATTATGCTAGCCTTTTGCAAGCAGTGGGGAAGCCGTCAATGAAATAAATGTAGTTTATTTAATAAATGATCATGTTTTAGGATACATGTGTATAATGCACTGGAGCCTTAGTGCCAGGTACATATATATTCTTTAATCTAATGATTAAACACCTCAAATAAAATGCAAATGTCCAGGTTTTTAAAGACGTTATAGTAAAGCCACAAAATTTGTATCTATAATGATTTGAGTGTTTGCAAGTGCTATTTCCCATTAATTCCAAGTAAACTGCTGTCTAGTCAGTTTGATGTTTTTGTCTGCTAGTGTCTAGGTGTAAATGTTGAGGCAAATGTTTAAAGTTTAATTCAAAGAGTAAATGTTTTCCATGCAGTGGCTTAATGCTGGGCTCCACCTAGCTGAGGCGCAGCCCAGCAGCGCGTCTCACTGCCATGTGCTCAGTATGAGCATCCCATTTCCAGTTCCCTGAAACCAGTTCTGGGCCCACAGTCACGGTGCAGCCCCGTGGCCCTGTCCGTGGCACGCCGGGCACCCTGTGGCCCTGTGGCCATGCCGGATGCCTCCCGGCCAACCGCATCTCCAAAGCTGCTCTGGAGCTGCTGGGCAGGGCTGTACCAATTTTCCCATTAATTCCAAGTAAACTGCTGTCTAGTCAGTTTGATGTTTTTGTCTGCTAGTGTCTAGGTGTAAATGTTGAGGCAAATGTTTAAAGTTTAATTCAAAGAGTAAATGTTTTCCATGCAGTGGCTTAATGCTGGGCTCCACCTAGCTGAGGCGCAGCCCAGCAGCGCGTCTCACTGCCATGTGCTCAGTATGAGCATCCCATTTCCAGTTCCCTGAAACCAGTTCTGGGCCCACAGTCACGGTGCAGCCCCGTGGCCCTGTCCGTGGCACGCCGGGCACCCTGTGGCCCTGTGGCCATGCCGGATGCCTGACCGCATCTCCAAAGCTGCTCTGGAGCTGCTGGGCAGGGCTGTACCAATGCTGCCCCTCGTCCCACTGCCCCAGACATTTATAACCATTTCTCTGCTGGCATAATGCCCTATCTCAGCTAGCTGTAGCATCAGAGCGTGACAGCTACGGCAGGCTTCTGCAGTGCAGGGGACTGGACAGCGTCCTTGGAAAGGGAAGAGATTACTGCAGTAGTATTTTGGGGTTTGTCTGTCACACAGTGGATGTGCACTTAAAGCACCATTCGTGTGCCTGAATAAACTCTGTGTTACAGACATTTGTATTCCGTAGGTAGCCACAACTGTACAAACTGTCACAGTTGTTTTTTGTGAACATTATTTGACTATTTTTGTAATTGACAACATATAGCATCATCTGGGACTGGGAATTCATCTGGGAATGTCTGCGTAGTAGCCGATTCTGCCAAGATAAATGGCTCATGGCTCAAGTGAGGCCTCTGCATGTGTTGATTCACAAGCCATTCATCTTTTCACATAGATCAGTCAGTAACAAAACAAGCAAAAAACCCAAACCAGCAGCACAGGGACCAGTAGCCTCCACCTCAGTCCAGCCACGGCATTCTAAGGTAACAACCAAGCGTGTACAAAAGAACTTGGTGCAAGAAGGGGATCTCTAGATGTTGGCTCTAGAACTCTTTTCAAGCTACCCCTCTTCAGCCCTGGGAAAGTCACAGGCGAGCAGATGGAGCTTTTCAGCAATCCAGAGAATTAATTTCTCATGCTACATCGAGCTAGGTAGATGTGGTATTGCCATAGCAACTTCAGAGAGAACCCAACTGGAATCCTGGCAATCCTTGAAAAAAAAAACCAAACACTGCTTTTACTCATCTTTTTGTTCTTCCTTACTACCCACCCATAACTTTGGTTAATGTTTTTATTTCATAGTGAGAGCTCTCTTACTCTGAAAAGATTTTTGTAAAGATGAATGTTTTGAAATATATTTTGCATAATGCCTTGTACAACAATTTAAACATATGAAATGGATGCTCCTTAGTCCTGAGGCAGATCACAAGATCCACGTACAGGCCAACTCTCATCTATTTTAACAGAGCAGAGTTTGGCCCCTGCAGTTACCCCAAAACACATGCCAGAGCAGCAGCAAAGTCATCAAAGTGTATCAAGTCCACTCAGGGTTGCACGGGCTTCACAGCCAGCACCGCGGGCTCAGGTGTGCGGCCACTGGCTACACAGCTGGTGCACTAGTGGGGTCCCACGAGCGGGGTCCCACGAGCAGGGTCCCACGAGCGTGGCCCCACAAGCAGGGTCTCACGAGCAGGGTCCCACGAGTGGGGTCCCACGAGCGGGGGCCCACAAGCAGGGTCCCACGAGCAGGGTCCCCCGA